TGGGCGGAGGAGCCCGAGAGCGATGCCTTTCCCCCTGAGGACGGTGTCCCCCCTCCGGCTGTGCCGCCTGGACGAGGAGGTCGCCGCTCCTTTGAGGGACAAAGAAGGCGGCGGCGGCGGCGCGGGGCTCCTGTTCGGTTCTTTGGAGGAGGTCTGCTCGCACTCGCTCGTTTCCCTCCTGTGGCAACTCTCCGACCTCTCCCGCTGCGCCAGCGACATCTTCGGCGGCATCCAGAGCCAAGTGGACAGCCTGGGGCGCCGCAGCGCCCACCTCCAGCGCCGCCTGGGCGCCGTCAAGGCGCTCGCCGCTCGTCTGGACCACCGGAAAGTCAAAATCCGTAAGTCTCTCTGGGCGCTGGGGCGCGAAGGGAGCCGGCCGGCCGGCTGGCTGGGGCTCTTGCGCAGCGCCCCGCGTGGTCCCGCTGGGGGCCTTGTCTGCGGGCAAGGAAGAGGCTGCGGCAGAGTTTGGGCGGCAAACTGTTTGAGGGCCGTTTCAGGGAAGGAGAACCCCCCATCACCCAGGGTACCCACGTTTTCCTGCCCAGCCGGAGAGTCTGGCTGGAGGACTGGCCCTTGCTCTAACTTGACCTCTGTGTGCGCTGTGGGGGGGGGGGAGCCTGGCGTCTCCTGACCATCTGTGCAGGCTCCGCGGGTTTGAGCACATTGCCCAAATAGAGAGCCCACAGCGAAATGCTGGAAGGCCTAGGGATGATTATTGTTGGGAGATAAGTTGGCCAGAGTGTTTCGAAACTTGGAGGAGCCTCCACCAGGTTGGTAGAGATTATTCTTGTCATCCATGAGTTGGCAGCCTGTGTATTTGCATACTGGAAACTGTACCCCTCTATTTATCAGACATAATTATTTCCTTACACCTTGTGTTGTGATGATGGTATGAAGTAGGCCTGACACACCTTCATGGTGGAAACATTCTCTGTAACATAAGAGAAATCTAGCCGGCATCCTTCCGCATTTGTGGACAGGTCTGTGGTTTGAAGAAGTGTAGGAACAAAAATGGAATGAAACACCAGCAATAGAGGTACAAAATCTTCCCTCCATGGTCTCACATACTGACTAGTGAGAACTCTTAACATAATAAAATACTGTACATTGCTTGGAAGGCCAATTCTCAAAGTAAGAACATTTAAAACACACTGAGTCTTACCCAGAGTAATCTGCCTCCCTCAAACTTCTGCTGAAATCATTAGGCCACCAATTTTGGTTAATAAACCAGTTCCATTCTGTTTTGGAAACAGAATCTGTAAATAGATGCTTATGGTAGAAACTGCTTTGTACTGTACTGTAGGTTTCTAGGCTTCACTGCTGCTACAGATTATGTACAAAAGTGTTTGATAAATGATTTTAATGTTTCATCAGATATAATACATATCAACTGGATTGTTAACAGCTTTATTGCTATGGGTGAAAACATTTCTTCAGTATTTCTAATATATGTTCTTGCTTTCTTTGCATCCTGCTCATTACAAAGACCGCTAGCCCAATTCAAAGTGGTCTAAAGTGTATAAAGCCCTAATTGGTTCTGAGACAGAGGTTTTCTCTCACAAGCCTGCTTGTAAATTGATATCTGAATCTGAGGCCTCTGGCTGGAAGACGCTGACTTGATAGGTCAGGTAACTACTGCGAAGAGTGCCTTTTCTTGTGATGGTGTCCTTGTTATAGAATTCCCTCTGATGGCAGAGTTGCCTGGCATGGTGGCTCTTGTTTTTAAATCCCAGCTCATGTCTGTCCGCCTGAGCTTTCAGTGCTAATTAATATCATGAGCTGTAATGCTAATGAATATCATATAACATCTATATTTTTAAAGTACTATTAGTTTTAATGCTAATTCATGTATATCAATACTTAAAAAAAACCAGTGTGAGATATTGTTGTTCATCTGCACTGCTTGTTTCTGAACGGCTGCTATTTCTATTATTTTATGCTTTTGAAACATGAGTTTTATGCTGCATTGAAGGTTCTTATGGTAGAAAGATGAGACAATTTTTTGTATGAAAGCAAAAATGACATAAAGATGGTTCCCTGATGTAGGGTAAAAATGAGGAGAGCAGAGCACAACTGGCTGTGTACAGACTTCCCTTCTAAAATAGTTCTTTCACTTCTTATGTACCACTGAGAGTGCTTATGAGGCATGTGGTAACTCTCATGCAATGCTCCTAACTGACCTTAACACACTCTATGAAAGATATTTAACATACACTGGTCAGAATTCTGTTGGTGTTCACATGAGGTTTGTATAACATGTTGCAGCTAATTGTCACTAATTGACGAGGTCCCAGGGTGCATCTTGGTTGTACAGCCAGGCATG